AGAGAGAGAGAGAGAGAGAGAGAGAGAGAGAGAGAGGAGAGAGAGGGGGAGGGAGGGAGAGGGGGGAGAGAGAGAGAGAGAGAGAGAGAGAGAGCAGTTAAGAAATGATATTATAAAAAAACTTGTTTAGAAGCTAAAAAAACTCATGTTTAGAAAAGTGTCGCTGTTGACAGATGTACGACAGCTGATTCCTTCGCATCTCTTTTGAACTGTATTCTAATCAACATTTAATGGCGAGTCATCAGGGACGTATAAACTGCAAGCGCCCGGTTTGGACGGTTTCCTAGATGCGTTCCGCAATACAGCAATTATGGAATATTGAATCTTATGCAAATTGCATTGGAGGCAACTTTGAACAAACTCTGATTAATCGCACTGGCGAGCAATTTGTCCAATCATACCTGTAATATTTAATTAATATTGATATTAATTTTTTAAATTTTATATACAAAAAGATCAATAAATTAAACAGAAATTTTGATTTAAGCAATTATGCCGGCTGAATCAATTATCTAATTAAGTTAAGAGAATTAATATAATTATGAAATCATAACACATGATATCTGGGATATGCTATCTGGGGGGTCTGTTCTTTTCAGTTTTTTTGTTTTATGTTGTTATAATATTTATAATTGTAATGTTTATAGTTTTAATATGTTTTGTATTTTTAGTATAAACTTTTGTAGGGAGTCAGAGAAAATAAAAATCGAAAATAATATTGAAATAAACAGTAAAATTTAATAATAGTACTGTATATAATACAACTGAGAGTACTGTAATAATACAACTGTATAATAAATTAAACTTTCTTTCGATACTCGTGGATAGAATTATACGTTTGCTGCTTGTTCTTGGCATTTAAATATATCCAAAAATTATTTTATATAACTGAAATGTGTGTGAAACAATATAAATTATTTAAAAATAGATAAATAAACGGTATAGACATTCGATATTTTTCAGTGCTCTCTCCTCTTTAATTGAAGTTTGATCAAAGGAATGTGAAGTACTATAGGATATGTAAAGTACAATAATAAAAGGTCCTCTCCGTCCTTTCCAATTTAAGAAGACACAGAGTGTAACACAGTGAATCATTGCATCCTCGTTATTTGCCAATATTAAACAAAGGATAAAATGATCATTGGGTCATATTATTATCTCCCTTGTTGATAAATAATCCAAATAATCATGATAGAAAAATAGACGAGAGTACGAGGATCGAGTAATGGTGCATACAGCACTGATGAAGGCATCGCTCGGAGCGCGCTGGCGTTCGACGGAGTCTGCAATAAACAAACTCCAAGTGATCTCCAGGTAAAAAAGCGTATACGTCCGACTCTCTCTCGCTGCAACTACGATCGCGAGGAGTCGCGCTGTCAACAGTCGAGCGGCATCAGAGGGTGAGCTAGAATCGTGCGAACATCGCGGAAACAGCCGTCGAAGGAACGCCGCGGAGATGGGCAGCACGGACAAGGCCGTGATCACGGGGTTCATATGCAGACTCTGCAGTAAGATGAACCGCTTCGTGATCCACATCTACGGGGAAGAGGGCGAGAGAATGAAACTCGCCGAGAAGATAAACACCTATCTGCCGATTACGGTAATTTCTACGTGCCGTCCTGTATCAGACGATCTTCCAGGAACCGCGTTAAGCATTTCGCCCGGTGCGGAACTTGATCGATCTCCGCCTCTCGCATTTTGCATAGATCTTTTTCCAGAGGCAATGCAAATATCTATAAAAAGAAAAAAAAAAGATCCCAAGTCTATATAATTGTATGTAGGTATTCTGTGGTTTTTTTTGTTGTTGAAAAAAGCTTATACCACTTCACCTCCTGATATGTTTTACAAATGCAGGGCATTATCAAATTTTGTAGAACTATCGACACCATCTTTTTTTACAAATTATTTTCTATCATCAACCACACATTTTATTATCTATATAATTTGATATTTAAAGAAACATTATAATAAAACAATTTTGTATGCATTTGTACAGGTAAACATGAACGATCCGCTACCAAAGACTGCATGTTTACATTGCATCGAACGATTAGAGGCGCATCATGAGTTAATGGAACAAATCATGTACACCAGGCGGAGATTAAACACCGATAATAAGGCGACCGCAGTAGCATCCTCTTCCGCGACAACCGTAGACACAGCTCCAACATCTAGCCCACCTCCTTGTTGACATGTGCAATGGAACATAGTATATCCTTTCGCTCAAAGCGCCATTCACCAAGCTCGAATGATTCCCATATAATTTTTCATTTCATTTTAACTGATTATAAGTGAAACGTGTAAAGGAAAGGACAGAGGTTGGAGTAAAATGTAACATTACATTTTTCTACATAAACACGGTATTTTCACGTTACATTACTCGTTTCAAACAAGTATTCATTAACGGTATTAAAGGAAATTATTCAATGCCAATGTCCACTACTATTTTCTGAGGGAACAAAATATCTCAAAAATATAGAAAATAATCAAACGAAACAAAAGAAATATAACGTTGCATAAAAAATTTCTTTATGTAACGTTATATATATATATATACATACATATATATATATATATATATATATATAT